GCTTCCATGACCTTTCCTTGTACAAGTTGTGCTGGTTTCCCCTGTACTGCGTACTGTCTCACCCTTCACCCAAGATACCACTAATCTACTGCCTATTTAGTACTCCCCCCCCCAACCCCTCCCATCCCTGGTAACCAACAAAGACTGTTACATTTTGTGTGAGAACTTTTTCATGGGTTTTTACAATAGAGGCCTCATACAATATTTGTCCTTTTGTGACTGACTTATTTCACTCAGCATAATGTCCTCCAGTTTCATCCATGTTATGAGATGCTTCACAGATTCATCGTTGTTTTAAATAAATTTTTTTTTAAAAAACTCATTCATGGTTTTTCAGCTGCCTCCCAGGGTAGTTTTGAGTACTAAACATATGAAGTCAAAGCCTAGGGCAGTGACTGGTACCCAGGAACACTACTTTCTTCCCCTCTTCTCCCGTAAATGCCCTCATGACTGGCCTCACCCGTTCCGCCCACTCTCAGCCATCCTTACTTAGTCCTCCCTTCCCAACCACCACATGATCTCCAAAGCAGCTCCGGGCACCTTCCTTAGACAGCCGGCCGCATGCTGCCTCTGTATGCTCATTACAGCTCAAAAACGGAATCCTTTGAGAAGCCTTCCCAGTCAGCAGGCCTATGTTAGACTGTAGGATTACCACGTGGCAACGATAGGCAGACACTGTCTACAGAGCTCTCTTGGTGATTAGATGCCTTCAGATGAGGACACTGTAAGCACCTCCTGAATTCTGTTTTTTTCACAAGCGATCAGGCTCATTTCTAAGCGTCAGAGGAGACGGTCCCCTCTCGTGGTTATGGGGAGCTGGGAGAGCTATGGCTCAGCCAAGAGCCCAGTACCTTTGTCTGCTCAGGGATGGTGCCTCGTCACGAACCATCCACGCTGCCATTTCTTCCTTCCACCTGACCTCAACCCCTCCATCCCTGCCCACTTTGGGGAGAAATGACATGGCAATAAATCTCCCTTCCCTATGTCACCTTTCCAGTTAAGGATCAAAACCTGAGATGTCTAGAATTCTTTTCTGGGTCATTCCTTATATAGTTCTGCTCGAGACAAAACTCCCCAAAAGCTGACCCCCTCTAGTCAGAGAGAATTATTCTAGGCCTACTTCTACTTCATAAGGAAACCGTCTATCTCTAACAGGAAGGGTACAACATTAACTTCTTATAGGTCAGGGGTGTTCAACCTGGGAAGACTCTGTCCCCCAGGGGACACGTGGCAATGTCTGAAGACATTTTCGGTTTTCACAACTGGAGGTAGTGCTATTGGCATTTAGTCGGTAGAGGCCATGGACAGCCCCCCACCACAAAGAATTCTCCAGCCCAAAATGTCAACAGTGCTGAGGCTGAGAAACCCTGTTCTAAATCATGTATTTTCAACAGGGGAGATACCATGTTAAAGGGGGTAAAAATTTGGGGGGCCAAAAAAAACCTTTTTTTAAATGTACAAAGCACAGATATACATCCAGTACATACAAAGACATCAGTATATCTGTGGTATTAAAATCTCATGAAGGACCAGGGAGGTAGAAGACCTATACAAAGAAAACTACAAAACACTACTGCATGAAACCCAAAGGGATCTACATAAATGGAAAAACATACCATGCTCATTGATAGGCAGACTCAACATTGTGAAAATGTCAATTCTACCCAAAGCAATTGACAAATACAATGCAATCCCGATCCAAATACCA